ATAGCTGCCTAACTATTGTACTGTTTAATATATATATATATATATAGGAAAAGTTTTCTATGTTCCCCCTACAACATAGAAAGCTATCCTCCCCCTTATCCAACCGTCTATTTTTTAATGGATGGCTAAGATTGCTCCAATCACAATGTCATGTCTCTACGCTGTTTTTATTTTTTATTTTTTCTATAAATTGTTTTGACACCAAATTTTGGACGTTCATTCATCTATTAAACTCGCACTAATGAAAAATATATATAAAAAAAATTTAATAAAATAAAATAACCAAAATACCCTTGAAAGTTTCAATGGGTATTTTGAGCATTATGTTTTATCAAAAAATTATTGTTAATATTTTTCATAGGTGTGCCCTAATGAGAAGGTGGCATGTGCCAAATTTTATATTCAGAAAAATTGTATTAAAAAAAACTAAAAATAAAATACTTTAAGATGTCGGATCTAAAATCAAACGGTGAGTGGCTCTCTTGATAAAAAATGGATGGCTGGATGGTAGGGAGAGGATAAAATTTCTATGTTGTAAGGGGAATATATAAAAGCTTTCCCATATATATATATATATATATATATCGGAAAAAGCTGAGGGTAGCCCACTAGCTCATAAGAACATATGAGTCTCTGACGATCACGGATGTCTATTAGTGTTTGAATTTTATTTATTTTTTCATAAATCCAAATTACTTGAAAATTTAGGTGTGTGTTCTTCTCATCAAGGCGCGCCTAATAAAAATATATATAAAAAAATATTTGTGAAAAGAAAAATGATCAAAATACCCCTCGAAACTTTTGTGGTGTATTTTGGTCAATTATTTCATGTAAAATAGTTTTTTGATATTTTTCGAAGATTCACCTATTTTTTATGAGCACATGCCTAAAATTTCAAGTGATTTAGATTTGTAAAAAATAAAAATAAAATTCAAGCACCATCGGACATCTGTGATCGTCAGATCGGCTCAAATTCAATCTAAACCTTTGGGCTCCTATGTTTATACGAGCTAGTAGATTTACCCCAGATTTTTTTATTAATTAATTAATTATATATATATATATATATAAATCAGATTTTACGGGAAAGAATGAATGAACAATATATTCTCGCCCCAGAATATCAACTTTTGGCCTTAAAGTATTTTCCTTAACAGCAAGGAGTCCCTGGCTCTCACGGTTTCCTGTCTTTCCTCTAGAATCTCTATATCAACAAAGAGGCTTTCTTTCTCTCTATTGCTTTATGTAATCCTTTCTATAATCCCTTAACCACTTTGCTCTCACGTTTCTTTATTCCCTCCGTCTCGTGTTGTGGTTTAAGCTAAGTTAGTCCTCGAGCACAATATAATCCTTCAAGAACTTAGGAACCTATTCTCTCCAAAGAATTACACTCCAATGTTGTTTTGGAATAAGAGATAAATGTACTGCCACAAAACTAATACCATGAAACTAACTTGTCAGTCACCGGCGCATCGATTCCAAAAAATCCACAGACTCAAGATTCGTACATGGTGCGGTGAATATGGAAAAAATAAAATGCACCAAGAAGTGCTTTTCACAACGACTATAAATGGCTATGATGATAGAAATACCAAAGGTTAAATGGGGTGTAATTTTACGTCACTATTCCAACAATCTCCATCTTGATGCAAATCATATATTTATTTTATCATTTATGTTTAGTTATTCTTTTTTTTAAAAACTTAGAGAATTTAGCCAATGTCAGAAGCTCTCTTACCTAATAACCTTTTCGTGCTGGTACTTCTTATGCAAACTTGCCTTCTTCATCATTCTCACCCTTGAAATCTTGAGGCCATGCTACATCGTCACATGCTTTGGATGTAACCCATCTCACATACCTACAAGCAAAACCACGGATTGATCTCTTGCCACTAATATCCCTTGCATAAATCATTCCCATGAAGCATTCTTTATGTTCATAGCATTGGCAATACTTGTCCATACTTCTTAAATTTTGAAGTAGCCATTTTACTTTATTCTCAAATTTTCTTCTGAGGCTAAATATAATTATTTGCACTCCGATCTCTGAATGAGATCAACTCAAATATTTGCAAAACTCAGTTAATTTATGAAAACTTAGAGAAACTAAGGTCGTTTAAATTATGAGCTTAAAAACGACACAAATCTATAAAGATCTGATCCTTTTCTGAGTCTGTTGGCAACGTGTGCTTCAAGATTTGTGTATATTGCTTAAAAACACTTCTAAATTTTACTTACTAAACTGTAGGAAAAGTGAACTAAATTAATGAATAAATAAACTAAAATTAAATAGGAAAAAAGATACATACGTCAGGAACCATAACCCGAAATTTCAGGCTTGAATCAGGCCGCCTTTCTTGTGCCCTCATCTTCTTTTGAAGCCTCTTACTTGCTAAAATTGGTAGATCTAAGGGTCTTTCATTTAGATCTAAGGTTCCTAAGGCTTTAGAGAATGTTGGAGATTTTTTAGGTAGGGTTTACCTATTTTTTTAGGTTTAGGAGAAGACATTCCTTAGTTTTCCAAGGGTTTTGGGATCTCCTAATATTAAATTCGATTTTTTTGAGATTTTTAAGGATTTTTTTATTTTTTAATAATTTTTGAAGGTTTTTTCTTATTTTTGGTTATTTCCTAATTTTGATTTTCCAAGGGATTTTATCCTATTTTCTAAGGATTTTGTATTGCTTTTCCAATATATATATATTTTTTGTAGAGAATTTGGGTTTTTTTTTTATGGGGTATTTAAAGGTTTGAATTAGCGGTAGTGTTGAAATTTATTGATCTAATCTCATAGTTTAATTAGGATTAAGATTAGAATACAGTTTGTATAGAGCCTAGGCTCTAAACAATCAAATTAGAACCTGCATTCAAATAGTGTCGAGAAATGTGGTTTCAATATTAGAAATCATTGTGATAGCCTTAAGATATATTTTCAACTTTATTTATAAAGTTTAAAGCTTCAAAAATAGTGTAGGTTGACAAATCTATGAAAACTTTAAAATCTTGAAAATGGACAGTCCAAAAATGTGCTACAAAATACAATATTTCCAAAACTTGAAATCCATTTGTTTCTCATGTCCATGCATCTTGATGTCGAGATGATAAATTTGAGAATATTTGAGCATCAAAACAACCTGTTCTAGTGAATATTTTGAGGTAGGCTCTAATTTAATTGTTAAGAGCCTCGGCTCTATATAAACTTTGCCATTAAGATTAAGACTTTTTTTTATATATATTTTTCATAATTTTCCCGGCACTTTTCTTGATAAAAAGCATGTCTTCGGTCAACTAGGCCGCATTAGGACCATTGGGCTGTGCGATGCACAGCCTGGTGTGTTGCGGAACACACGGAGCATTGCACGGCTTGGCACGACGTGCGACGCGTCGGACAAATTGGTAATTTGTGACTCTAAAACTTCCAAGGATTATAACTTTTGATTTGTAGGTTCGATTCAGTCAGTTATTGGACTGTTGAAAAGCTCTTAGGGTCTATTATGACTTGGGACAGGCTTGGGATAATTTTGAAATAATTCTACTGGGTTTAAGTCACTTATGGTTTGCTAGGATTTGTGTGGTCCTTTGGACTTATAATCAAGGTTTTAAGAATTCCCTTAGCCATAATTTCGAGAGGGGTGTCTACGGTTGCCCCTCTTTGACATTATTCACTTGGGGTATTGGGTCAATAGCAAAGAAGGTGACATATGGGATATGATGGGAATGAAACCTTTGTCAAGGAGTCATTCTTTTGAATGACCACTACCATTTAGGGATGCGGTATGACGATAAATACTTTTGATTTGTAAGACATCGAACGGAAACTACATTATCAAACAGTAGCATTGAGAGGTCTCCAACAATGGGGATCCAAAGTGACAATCAACATGAACAATGTTATCTTTGAGCCAATGACACTCATTGCTGTTGTCACCAATAATAATTGATTTAGAAGAATTGATGATATGATGAATTCTCATCTAGTTGAACTTCTTCAACTTCGATTCTAATTTTTGAGATTCACATGTGTTAGGCTTGAGTTTGAAAAACTATGGGTTGATTATTCTTTCTTAAGGGTTCACAAGCATGGCAATTTGAGATCTGGTAGCAGCAGAAACATCATGTCCAAGCCTCCATGAAGTTCTTTCATTGTTGAAAACATTAGGTTTTGAAAATGTGTAAGATTTTAAAATAGTCATAGAGTTTCAGGCTACTTTTTGATCAAAGAAATTAAGATTTTTGAAAATTTCACAGGCACATATAGGGGGGATTTTGCAGATAGGTGAGAAATTTCGGAAACATTTTGTGTTGGTTAGCCGTTTAATCTTGTGCAATCATTGAGCCCTTTGAGCAGTTTTATATCATGCAGTAATGGATGTTCTTGTACCTACCCTGACTCTTTTTCGTCTCATGGTGTTAATGTTGAATTGATATTGGGTACCTAGTCGTTTTAACATTATACGGTTAGACGTCTTCCTGTTTCAGCTCTTTCACATCGTATGAGTTTGACATTTGATAGAGATTCCCTGACTGTTTAACGTCGTACGGGTTAGATGTCTTTCGACTGAATTTAAGATTAGATTTCCAATTGTTTTACATCACATAGGGTAGACGTCTTCAATTGGATTTGAAATTGGATTCCCGATTGTTTTATGTCACATGGGATAATCGTTTTCAATTGGACTTACTATTGGATTGGTGGGTCATTTCAGCTCATGTCACTTAGAGTTTTGTGACTTTGAAGATGATTGATGAAGGGTATCTCAAATTTTTTATTCTTCAGAGGATTTATCTGACAATTATGGGCTTCTCTCGAAACTGATTTTAGGATCTTTGATTTTTTATTTTTCTTGACTCTTGCCCATGTTTTTTGGGTCATGCGACAACTTTGTTCCTGCCCTTATGTTTCTAGATGTTTTCCTTCTCTCCCTTCTCTTTTTAGGACGGGTGTGGGGTCCACTACCCTCCTTCTTTCTTTTTTTTTTTTTTTTTTTTTTTCACTTCGGCTTCGAATTTTTTTTCCCAGTACGGATGGGGCAGACGGCTCCTCCGACGATAAAACGTTTTTTCAGGGGACCGAACCCCCAGCCGCATTTTGAAATTTTGCTCTCTCTCTCTCTCTCTTGTTTGCTTCCTGTTTCCTCCTTGAGCCTTTTGGATTTGAGGAGCTCTTTTCGTCTCATTTCTTTCGATTTTGAGGTCTTTTGGGCGCATTTAGCACATTTTCTTTGTAGATTAGCCTTTCTTAGATCTTTACCCTTTGAATCTTCTAGTTCAGACATGGCGGATCAGGAGCAGTGGTGGACCGAAGACCAGCTTGTTTCCTGCTCGAAAGGAGCGCGTCAGGTGCACATTTTCTTGCTCCTCGATGCTCTTCTAATCATGTTTTATTTATTTATTTTTTCTTTCTAATGAATTGCCCTACGTTGTCAGTCATCATGTAGCTTAGAAAACTTAGAACTTGGGCATCCATTGTATGGATCTTGTTTGTTTTGAATATGAGCTGATTATAAAAACATGCATACCAAGTGTTTGATTGCATGTTTCACAGAACTTTTCACCTCTTTTGGTCATGCACTGAACATGAAAGTTCTTTATTTTGACATTTTTAATGTACATGCCTGATATTGGCCCATGAATCTGTCCATTTTCACTGTCTTGGCTAGGGCACCATTTTTGCATCGACTTGTAGGGTCATGCATGTAGGCACTTTCACAATTTTCTTTTTCTGTTATAATTGACTGATGTTTTTGTTCCAGGACTGTATCATGATTATTTCCCATGCTGAATCATGGTTTTCCCTATTTTGGAGAATTTTGAGCATTGCTTGATATTTTTTCATATGGTTAAATAAAGATTGTCACTATGTTTTTGCATGTGAAAATTCCTATGGTGGAGCCTCATTCGCATGATGTTGTGACCCTTAAACTTAATTTAGTATTCACTTTTATGATGAATTTTATCAAGATATTGTGGAAATTATAGAAACACGCACGTATTTTTTGGAACAATATTTTCCTACATTTTATGTGTACCCATATTAGAAAGGTGGTTCATTACTTTCTTTAGTGGTACATAACTTTATAACCCTATAAATTAGGGCTCTTGTTCTCATCTTCGATAAGCTCTGAAATACATCTTCCATGGGGGCTTAAGACCCAAATATACAGAAATACAGTTTCTCACATGGTATCAAAGCTACCGACCCATTTGTCTAATATGTTTTCTGATATGCTCTTTGCATCGAGGCCTTAGATAGATTCGTTCCGAAAATTTCAGTACCTTTTGCCGTTTCATGGATATTGTCGCTGGAAAATCTACCCCTGTTTTTTCAAAGCATCTTCGTCTATTCCATGCTGTTTTCTCTCTCTGCAGTGCTCTTTTGTTGTGCGTGTTGAAAGTCTCAAGCCCTTACCATCAATAGTTCCCCAACATTTGCACTCTGCATTAGTGAATATATTCCGTTCCTAATAGATCCCCAAAATTTGCACCCATTACCACTAACCCATCAATAACCCCTTTTGCACTCATTACCATCCTCAACCATTTCACAACCTCAGTTTCATTCTAACGACATGATTTCTTTGAAACCATTGTTATGTTGATATCTTTTATTCTCTTGGGGAAGTATTTGGAGGTGGTAGCAAAGGGGAAAACTTCTTATGCTTCGGTAAAGCTTACAGATCGTACTCCAGATAGAACATTTTTGCTGAACTTGGATGCTGATGGGAACGTGGTTTCTTAGATGGAGATCTGTACATAGTTGTTACAAAGGAATGATGTAATTAAATTGTCCCAGGAGCCAAAGTTCCAATTGATGGGGTCAGGTTAATGGTTTCAGCAAAGAAGACAAGGCTTGTCTTCTACAGTTTGTGACTGGAACCTCCAAGGTGCCCTTAGAAGGTTTTAGGGCACTTCAAGGGATCTCTGGCTTACTTTAGGTTAACCATTGTTGTCATGCACCCTTCTGATGTTGGATCCTTGGTGAGCTAGATCTGAGACCTGTCTCTCTAAATCCATCTCTGAAAATGGCCTCTGAAAACGGTTGATCAACACCATTTGCAAAACAGCCATCGAGTCATGTTTCGAGTCTCTGATCTGTTTCTCTGTCGAGTCGTATTTCGACTCTCTAATATGTTTTGGAACTTCGAATCTAAGGTCCAACTGTGCTTGTTGAACCGTTGTTAATTTTTGTTGGCTCTTCCTAGTGTCTCCTGTTTGATGATCGAGTTTCTCGATCTTGGTTGATGATCAAGTTTCTGTTACTCGATCATATTTAATTATTGAGTTTTCTGTTACTCAATCCTATTGGATGATGGAGTTTTCCGTTACTCCATTCTGTGTGATGATCGTGTTTTTTTCATTGCTCGATCATGTCTGCTATCGAGGCATGTTGATTTGCTGTTATGTGAGACTGCGCTGTTTGAGGTGTCGGTTTCTGAGGTTTGCTAATTTTGCTCAAGCTTCTTCTGTTCCTACTTTGTTACTAAGGCTTGCCTTCAATTGTCAAAACTCAAATTGCTCTCTCTTAACACATCTTGAGTTTGAGGGGGAGTGTGAAATTATATAAACATGCACTTACTTTTTGTACAATATTTTTCTTCCTTTTATGTGTACCCATATTAGGAAGGTGGTTCATTGCATATCTTACTTTCTTTAGTTGTACACAGCTTTTGAGCCCTAAAAATTGGGGCTCTTGTTCACATATTCGATAAGCTCTAAAATACATCTTCCATCGGGGCTTAAGGCCCAAATATACATAAATACATTTTCTCACAAGATGTCACACCAGGACAGCTTGTCTTGGGTGAACATGAAAAATTACCAAATTGTCCCTACTTCAAGGCTAGGGTGAATACGTCCCTATGATGATCCTGGAAGTACATTTTCTTCATTTTTCTTTATTTTCCCTTTTTAGAGATCATTTGTCATCTGCCCTAGGCCATCTAATGCTGGGTAAATCGCTGGGATTATCTTTTTATTTTGAACCAAGCTAGAGATTTTCCCCAATATAGTATTGATTTTTCTTTTTCTTTTTCTTCTTGTGTCTTTTGTTTCAGACCTATATGGTTGGGACCTCTTGTTATTTATATAACACCAAGAGATGGACCGAGCTTTTATCTCCAGTCCAGTTGCAAACCCTGGCTAGGATAGGTTTATGGGAGACCTGTAGGATTAGACCATTATGTATCACTGCCTTTTGACTGAGTTTTGTCTTCGATGGAGATTGGAGACAAACTCTTTTCCCTTCTCTACTGAGGAGATGGGTCCCACCATTGAGGATCATGGGAGTTTGGGGCGATGGAGAGCCTTTCCTGAATATCCCTCTTGAGGAGGGCAATCGTGAGGCCATTAGGGACCTCCTAGGAGTTGCGCCCCCTCTTGAAAGCAAGAAAGGAAAAGATCATATATATCTCAACTGACTTGAGATCGACTTTGGAGGAGGAGTGGAGGCTCTCAGGGGCAGTCAGGGAAGTAGGTTGCAAAGAGTGCCATCTCCTTCCATTTATGATATATCAGGCGATGCTGGTGAGGATGAGGAGGTTGATGAGGAGGCACTGACTGTGAGGGATAGGAGGCTTATTGCTCTTCGGACCAGGAGATGACGTGAGCGCGAACTTTCGGCAGCTGAGCCCGATCTTTTCACTACCCCAGTGGATCTGGAGGCGGTGTACATTCTTATGCCTACAGATGAGGTCCAGGGGCTGAGGGCCTTTTTAATGTTTTTATTTGGTGACTTTCTCTTCGTCGATAGGTCGAAGGGATGGGCTAAATATAAGATAGCCTGGCCTACTGGAGATTTGGAGCACCTGGAGAGAGTCGCTCGGGCTCCTGCTATTCTTGCTTGGCTCTTCAAGTCGTAGGATTGCTACAGAGGAGGTGACCAATATTGGAGGATGTTTAGTCTTCCTTCAGGTATGTGAAAGCTTTGTTCAATTCTTTTTGGTCAGTATTTTCCCTAATCATTTTAGATTGGGTTCTTATTTTTCTGATTTCTTATTTGGAACCAGATCTGGGCATGAGAGCATGTTGCCTCGTCCCATCCTGGGTGAGGTTATCGAGCGGTTCCTCCACATTCGCATGTGGTCTTTGGAGCTGTGGGAACCAATTGGCTTTACCCGTGTCCTTTCTTCTCCCTATTCTTCGATACCACATCTGAGCGGGAGGTTAGTTGAATTCCCCTTTTGATTTTCTTTCCTTCTTTTGTCCTTTGAGAATTTTTGGGTTACTTGACTCTGTTTTTCTTCTCTCTTTTTTCTCTCATTGAGATTACTTGGGCTGTTCCCCTAGAGGATGAGGCTGACATATGTGAGGAGGCAGTCCCTGTTTTCCTCACATGCGCTCACGTGATCTATATGGATATGGTAGAGGCCTACCGCCCTGAGGGTGTGTTGCGGCAGTGTGGGCCTTGCGACCAGTCCCTACCTCTATACTCCTCGATGGGTGCCACTTATAATTCGAGCGGGCTTCGAGGAGAGTACTTGTCAGATATAGCTTCTTGGACGGCAGAATAAGAGCAGAGGCACATGCCAAGCAGGGATCAATAATGATAAACATACAAACAAATCAAATCAATTTAAACCCAAAATAAGGAAGAAGCAAAACACATAAATTAAAGGACCTCTTCCACAATCAGATTTACACAGAGGGCTCATAAACAACCCTAGAAAAACCAGTGGGTCGCTGCAATATTTATTTTAAACCTTTTAGTTAACTCACACTTCAATTCAAGAACAAATTACAAAATCAAAGTAACTCGTATTGGACAAATTGGCATCATATCTAGTTAAGTTTGTAGTAAAAACACAGTAAATACAAGTTCAGCCATTTTCAAATTGGACTGAATTCATATTGTGGCCTTCATTCATCCAAGTCTTTGTTTGATGACACAAAAGTGTAGGCTGAACTCGACCCACCTTTGTTGCACCCAACCGAAATCACAAAAGCGTTGTATTTCAGTGCTCATGTTCATGTTCCATAAATTCAGCAAACAAGCCAACACTATAAAAGAAGCTAGCAAGCACGACAAATTCAACAAGCAAAAACAAGCAAGCAAGCACTATATTTCCGCAAAACTGTAATACCAAGCAAGCAAGAACTTTAAATTAGATGAAAACTGTATTTTGGCAAACAGTAACAATAAGCAGGCAAGCACTATTCAGCCAACCAGTCGAGTACTATAAATTTAGTGTGAATTTAAGTTGTAGCATAACAAAAGATGGCAGGTTCGATATTATATCATGGAATTTTATAAGTATAGTGTGAATTTAAGTTATAACATTTATCAGAATCAAGCATTCAGTATTAGAAGTCTATACGTTGGTCTTCATTTCCCACTTTGAATACCAATCTTTCAGTAATTTGATTAGTTCCAAATATGATTATGTGACAAGCTGATATTGCTGCTTGCTACAAGTTTTTAACCATATGCCATCAGATATCTTCGAAAAGCTGTCAAAGGAATCCAGAAATAAGCAAACCCCAGCCTTTCCGTTTATATGCAACAACATAACCAGAAATAATTCAACAAAAACGGTAAAATGCAAAAGAAGAAAGCACAAACACTTCACGAACCAGTACTTTGAGGTGAGTGAGACCATTTACTTTTAGTACAAGGTGGTCACAATTAATCTTGATTATTGTATGTGAAATTAGATGAATGTATTTATTCCAATGATCAAGTTTAAACTTCAAAAGAAATTTTTTCAAACTTTGTGACATATCCAAACTCTTAAATTTCATATTAGATGGCTGTAAGTAATTGTGATCACTTTACATCAAAGATAAATGGTCTTATTGTATTCAATCCCATTTAATACATGTAACTTTATATAATGCGAATTAAAAGGATGTAGAGCGTATATCCTACTAGTGATGGAAGCCTTATATTTGTAAGAGGTAACTTGGAAAATTGCAATCAAACTGAGCAGACAAGTACACTTAAAGTACACTTAAAGGCTGACTCTATTTTTAGGATTTTTGGATAATAGAAAAAATAAAGACAAACCCTCAAAGAAAGAGAGAGAGAGAGTGTGGCACAAGCAGAAGCATACTTGATTTTTTATTTTTTTCTTTTATCTATTTTTAGGATTTTTGAAACTCCTTAGACGAATTATCAGGAAAAGAGAGATAGAGACTTGCTTTTTCTTTTTATTTAATTTTTATTTTTATAAAGAGAGAGCAGAGAAGGGAGGAAGATAGGAGGATAAAATCACCTTATCGGAGCCATCCTATACGGTTGATTTCTACGAAGAAAGAGGTGAGAAAGATATTAAATCAGATGCTTGGGAGATTTACTCAGACTTACAGGTCTGTTGGGTATGATGTAATCTACCCCAATAGCCATTTTGAGCAATAGCCATTTTGAGCAATACGTTGCCGCAATGGACTTATTCATGTTTAATATAACATTTAAGAAAGTGAGTTTCTTGGATTAAAGCACCAAGAGAACGATCTCAGTCAAGAGTCAATTTTATTTGCAATGGGTACAATTTATAAGTTTCGGGAGGGAATTTTTGTTCATCATTTATATCAAATCAAAATAAAAAATAAGATACATCAAATCATACTTTGCATTCTATAAAAAGCAGAAGAAAAGAACAGTAACACCTTTACATTGCATCAAAAAAGCAAAACAATAGTAAAAAAAACTAAGGAATAGTAAAATTTTACATTGCTTCACAAAAAAACAAATGAATACTATTTTACTATTTATGAAGAGTATTTACTATTAAAAAAGTAAATAAATAGTGTTTACTATTTAAAAAGTGAATAAATAGTGTTTATTATTCAAAAAGTGAAAAGTTGATGAATAGTAATATTATGCCAAAAAAAAGAAAATCATTTCCGTGCTTTATGTCTTCTTCACTCATTTTCAAAGTTTTTTTTGCACAATTGTCATACTTGAGAACTTATATATATTCTAGTAGATGATTTGGACAAAGTTCTTTTATCTTTTTCGGGCAAGTTATGCATTTTTGTATTTCTCTTTGCAATACTGCTAATAATGCACTTGAAGAAGGTCATTTTTTTTGACAAATTCTTCATCACACTAATATTAATCTCAATACCTTTTGACCACTCCTGTTTCTGTGAAATTTATTCTTTAGAAACAAATTATCAAATTGTCTTCCCAATCGGTATATCCTATTAATTTATTAAAAAAATCCCTACAATTTGTATTAGGATATAATAGTCTATTTATGAACAACAGGTTATAAAATACTTCTTTCCTTATGGCCGGGTTATAATTTCAGTTTCTATGGAGCTCCATTATTTACAACAATACATATTCTCCATGATGAAGTCATGAATATATCTATAGTGGGATAATTACTATTGTTTGTTGGGGTTGATTCAGGAAACATATCTCTGGTTTTTTGGCAAAATATTTGTCTTTCTACTGGAGATAAGTAATCCACTATTTAGGAGGTTTATGAATCATTCTTATCATTTTGATTACACTTGTTAATGCATTTGGAAGGCTAAGGTCTTTAGCTGGTATCCTTTCAATAGTATTGTGATAGTAAAAATTGCCACTAGGCATATCTCTGCAATTTAGTGCTAGATATCATTTTTTAAAAAAAATAAAGTAGCCAAATTAATAGAGTCGGTCCTTAAAATAAATTTTTCTCCAATTAAATTATGATAAAATTTCTTTAATCCCCGTATTGCAGCCATAATTTCTTTTTCAGCAGGCCAATAGTTTAGTTCATGATTTTTGAATTGCCCACTGGTATAAGCACAACTTTTTTCACCCTTTTTCTTCCTTTTTTTAATAGTACAACTACCCAAGTTTTTGAAGAAGACATTGATATGTAGGACTTAAAGTTGGAAGGTCTTGTGTTAGGGATTTTAATTTAATTGCTTCCTCAATAGCCTTTTTATGAATGGCTCATTCTTCATGCAATCTCTAATATTTTTGGTTTTTTCTCATAATGTTGGAATAAAATCTTGAACATAATTTATACAACCGAGAATTCGCTGGTATTGTAGCTTGTCATGGAGCTGATTGGAGAATATATCAATTTTTTGAATAACATGAGGTTGCATTATAATTCTTCCGTCTGATAGTTGAACTATGAGGATAGCAACCTGAAATTTATCTTTTGAAGCACATAAACCAATGCCATAATCTTGAACTAACTGAGCAAATACTTTGAGATGTTGTCTATGCTCCTACACACTGTCAGAAAAAAATAAGAAAATCATCTATTTAGTTAGCAATAAACTTTATGTAGGGTTTGAAGATTGAATCCAATCTTCATTTGGAACTGTCAGGAAGCATTTTTTAGGTCAAATGGCATGGCCATCCATTCAAATAGTCCATCCATTCAAATAGTCCATCAGAGGTAGAAAAAGCTGTCTTGTGGATATCTTATTCTTTTATCTTGATCTGATAATACCTTGATTTCTGTCTATGAAAAATAGTACCATATCCTTTGAAATAGCATAGGGATCTATGTTGGAAAACCTGGCAATCTAATTGGTAACTGCCCGGTTAGATTAATTTTTTTTTCGATTTTAGCAAGGTCTGACTCGGGATACAGAACGAGCGGATTTTGTCGATTTTGTTTCTGTACGGTGTAGTTTTTAAACGCTACTAAC